CAGAGATAAACAGATTTCCTTATTCTCCTCTAAGGTCTTGCTAACCTGAGATATTGAGAATTTTCATGACTCCAAGCTCCAAGTCTCCCAAGGGCTCCTGGCTCCACAGGGCCTGGGTCCTGGCTGTCTCTCCTTAACCCCTGTCCAGGGCTGGGCACACAGGGCTCAATGGGTGGGTATGCCGGGTGCCTTCCCAAAGAGGGGAAGCCCAGGCCTCCTCGCCCTTTGCAGGGCCTGGCTCTCTCTGCCCTGGCCCAGGGGATCTGCCAAGCCAGCGCCAGGTGCCAGAGGAGGCAGGAGCTGAAGATGGACAAGTTCTTTCTTGACAAAGGGGCCACGAGAGGGGAGCCAGCTTTGCAGCTTCTCCTGTGGCCCTGTGCCACCTCTCCCCCATCATGAACAACTCTCAAGCAGGAGTCGCATGTCCCAGGCCCGGATTAAATAACTCGTTGCTTCAAACATGGGGTCATCCCACTGATGGAGGTTGCAGGCCGGCCGTTGGTGCCCCAGGGTGCAGTCCTGCGCTGAGGTGGGGCCATGGTGTTCTCCCCTGGCTTTGGGGGCCTGGCCCCTTCCCTGACCCCCATCTTGATATAGACTTATTCCGCCAGGACCTTTGTATCCCCTCTGCAGAGGGTGCCCTGACCCGCTCCTCTGTCTCGGGTTTCATCTATTTCAGGGCCTCGCACAGACAGGCACACTGATGGGATGGTTATTTTGGAGCTTGCTGGCGGCTTGCAGCTGCTCCTGACCCCAGGGGTGGAGGGGATGGGAGAGGAGACATACTTGGGTTGGGCAGTGGCCCCAGGGGTTCTGTTTTTAGCTGGTTCCCAGCACCTCTTGTATCTCCTCTTCCAACTCCTGTGATATTTCAAGCAAGGTCAAAGGGGTCACTTTCCTGCCCCTTCTCCTCTTTCTTTTCCCACTGTTTCTCCTTCTTTCTCTTCTTTTGTCTCTAATCTCCAGTTGAAGCTTCTCCTTCCTGGCCTTTAGTCAGTGTTGCCTGGGTGCAGGTGGACCTGACTTTGACAAACTCAACCTGAGCAAATGCTAATAATGGAAGTTATCAAGTATCTAGGTGCCAGGGGCTTTGCACTCTACCTCTGATCCCTTCAACAATATTGCAAAGCAGGTATTATTATTATCTCTAGGTAAGTGATCTGGGACTGGAGGAAAGTGGCTCACCCACAGGCCACCAGCCAAGTGCTGGGTCAACATTTAAACCCAGGCCTGTATCACTCCAGAGCCCATGCATATTCTTCTGAGCCATGTAGCATGGAGACAGTAACAGTGGCTCATGGTAACCTAGTGATTGTCTGTGCCAGGTACCCTAGATGCTTTATTCCACTGCATCTTCTTCACAGCATCCCTTCCAAAAGGAGTATTAGAATTCAGATTTCATACCAATAAGGAAATGCTGATTTCACCGCTATAGAAGAGAGGCCCAGGGGGCTTAAGCTATTTATCCAAGGTCATACAGCCAGGAAATGACAGAGCTCGGATGGGAACCCAAAATGATGACTTCAGAGTCTTGCACTGAACTGTGTTCCTATCTTGCCTACCAATATATGGATTTTGGTTACAAAAAATCCTAAAACACTCTCAGGTTGCATTATAAGAAGTATAGAGTACTTATTAGGAGAAGTGTGCTGGCCACACTGTGCCTCAAGCTGGTGAGAGTGTATCTGAGTGTTTCTGAGAGTGTACTGAGTCTGGTGCTGTTCATTGTCTGAGGTGGGAAGGTATGTGTGGAGTCTGAGTATTCCCTGAGGAGAGCTGTCTTCAGTGTGGGGCTGAGAGGCAGCCCCAGAGGTAATAGGTATAAATACAGGAAGGTTATAACCAAATGTACCCTGGAAAGTAAACTGTATAAAGAGCAACACATGAGCTGACAGTGTTGGGTGTGTTTATATGTACATGTTTGTGGGTAGCGATCATTTTATTTAGGTTGATACACAGTCTACTCATTTTTAGTATCTAGCAGTTTTGTACAAAAATAGTAATTAATTTGTAAATACTACCAGAATATTTTCTAGCTGGTTTGTAATTTTTTTTAATTTTTAATTTTAATTTTTTTTTTTTGGTTTGTAATTTTTTTAAGAGTGTTATTTTGTGTTTATTGTGGTGGTGGTAGTGGGTCTTGTGTTCATTTTTGTTTTAAGTGTAGGTCTGTAAATACAATTGCAGGATTTAAAGCTTTAGCATGACGCCTTGTGTACACGAGAGAGGAGGGATTTGAAGGACGATGCCTTGCAGAGTGAGGTGGGTGACAATTGTTAGGTTAAAGGAATTTATTTTCCTATGGGGTATGTGATAATGTCAAAAGGAAGCATTTCTCCCAAACTTGGGAGTAGGCAAACTAATAAATGGTGTAGCTTTATGTAGTATGCTAGTCTAAAAAAGACAATAGGTAATACCATGTTAAAAAAAAATCTTTTATGATGGATTTTGTAAACAGGTTTGTTGCAAGGTAACCTGTTTTCTTGCTGTGATCTTACCACTTCAAATGAAGGTAATTTGAATAAATTTTGTGTGGTAAAGAATCAGTGAAATAATGTTTCCTAAGAGTTCAACAAACAAACAAAAAAGCAACCAGGGAGGTAGATTTCAGTTTAAGAGAAGGAAGCATTTTCTTAAAGACAGAGTAGCTCAGCAATGGCCTGAGTTGCCTGGGAGGGAGTGGGCATATTCAAGCAGAAGAGGACTCCTGTTGGGGCAGAGAGCAGGAGAGCATACATCCAGCTCCATTCAGGAGTCTGTTTTGAGGATCTGCCCAGCTCCATGGGCTCTGGCCTGATTGTCTTGAATGTGTGGGGTGGCATGGGAGAGAGCAGCGTGGGGTGTGTATATGTGTGGCCCCCATGACAGCCTTGTTCGTGTAAACCCTGGCTGGGCATCTCTGAGCCATTTCTTTCCTCCTTACCCTGCTTCTCCATCCCTTCTCCTCTCTGTCCCCAACCCTCTGGAGTCCCCAAGGGCCAGTGCCTGGAATCCTTGAGGGGTTAGGGGAGCGGGCTGTTCCCTGGGGTCCAGGCCGGCCCACAGCCCCCACAGCCCCCTGCTATTGTCTCCCATGTCTTGCCCTCTTTGCCTCTGCCTCTCCGCAGTCCCCCCCGCCTCTCTGCACCATTGCTGTCACAGAGTCAATTCCCTGGAATAATCACATTTTCCGGTTGGCTCCCTCCTCCTTGCCAAACACGATGCTGGGAAATCCCGACCAGCCAGGCCTCGAGAGGCTTCTCCAGAGAAGCAGGAGACTGGTGGGGAGGGCCCAGCACCCTCTCCTTGTGGGGGTCCAAACAACACTGTTCCTGGATGGGGCAGAGGAGCTGGGGGAGAGCAAAGATAGGGAGGCATTAGAGAGCATCTCTAGATTCAGCTGGAGCTGAATTCTGGCTTCGCTACCCCTACCAGTCCGTTCCTCCAAGCTTTGTTCCCACGCTGAGCACCCCCGCCATCCTTACTCAGTTCCTGGAGAGAAAGCACAGATTCTCCCTCGGGGAGGCTCAGAGAAAAGCCTCCTGAGAAGGGATTGGTCCCTGGTAAGGCCAGCAGTGGCCCCAGCCAAATTTGGGGCTTCCCACGAAAAGGATCCAGTAAACCTATATGGCTTGAAAGTGGAGGGTGTGGGATAAGGAGTTGGGCAGATGATGCTTTAACCCTGGATCTGCAGCTTGGTTGTCACAGAACATATCTGCGGGAACACCTCTGTGGGATGCTTTAAGGAGGAAATGCAGCAGTAATTCATTGCACCTGATGACTTTTATTACAAATTATAGGACTCCATAAAGCAGACTTAGCCAGCCATTAAGAAATTATGGTCTCAGAAACAAGGTTATTGGTGTAAAAGGGTATACAGGACACGGTAAATAGAAAAACTAGTTTTGAAAAGGAAATTTGTATAACAGAGTTCTTCACCTGGAGTCCATGGCCATGGATGCTCTGAAATTATCCACAGAATTTAGGAAGAATGTGCATTTTCCTGAGAAGATAGGTACAAGTTACATTTTCAAAGAGATTTGTTACCTGTAAAAGTTAATAGTTTAAAACTACTGGCGCTTATATAGTATGATTCAATTTTTGTGTTAAAAAGAGAATTAAAATATATTCAAAAGAGGCTGGAAATTCACACATCTAAATATTAATAGTATTTTCCTCTGTATTACGTGTATGAATAAAAAGAGAAAGGGTTTGATTTCCAGTTGTCGGTTTTGAAAGGAGAGCTTGGAAGAATTCACTTAGCTTCTCCATCTCAGTGTCCTTCGGTAGAAATAACATCAAAAGCTAATTTTTGAGATAAGATGAGACAGTTTATGCAGAGAGGTATTCTAGAGGGGAGGGTTCCCTCTGGGCTCCCAGAGGCACAGAATATCAACATGCATTCAGCAAGTGTTTACTGCTGCCTTCTAAGTGCTGGGTGCTAGCTGCTAGGATAAAGAGTGAGGGCCCAGGAGTTAATTTTTTTTAATCCTACTTTTATAAGTGTACCATTTAGAAGTAATCATGTTTTTGGTTTTGGTGTCTTTCCTGCCTGACGATCCTTTGCTTAAACAAATACGTAGTCTGAGGTTCTGCAGAATGTGTGATATTCTTGTTCAGTGGCTAAGTCGTGCAGACTCTTTTGAGAGCACCCCTCCCACCCCCCACCCCCCCCCCCCCCCCCCCCCCGCCATGGACTGTAGCCCGCCAGGTTCCTCTTCCATGGGGATTCTCCAGGCAAGAATTCTGGAGTGGGTTGCCATTTCCTTCCCCAGGGTATCTTTCCGTTCCAGGGATCCGATCCAGGGATCCAACCTGTGTCTTGTGCATTGGCAGGCGGATTCTTGACCACTGAGCTACCAGGGAAGCCCCTGTAAAATGTCCGAGCATTTTCTTTGCCGTTAGAAACTAGATGCATCTTACTAGTGCCGGCTTTAAAGACTAGTGGGAGGAAACTCGCAGGCGATGGGACCTAGGGCTGTGGCCCGCCTGACGGTCGCCCTGTCTCCCTACCCCCGCAGACAGCGAGCTGGTGCTCCCAGACTGCCTGCGCCCGCGCTCCTTCACCGCCCTCAGGCGGCCGTCGCTGCGGCGCGAGGCCGACGAAGCGCGCCTCTCCGTGAGCTTGTGTGACCTCAACGTGCCGGGCTCTGACGGCGACGAGGGCACGCCAGCTGCCGGGTGCCCCATCCCGCAGAACTCGCTCAACTCGCAGCACAGCCGCGCGCTGCCCCCGCAGCTCGACGGCGACCTGCGCTTCCACGCGCTGCGCGCCGGCGCGCACGTCCGCATCCTGGACGAGCAGACGGTGGCGCGCCTGGAGCACGGGCGCGACGAGCGCGCACTCGTCTTCACCAGCCGCCCGGTGCGTGTGGCTGAGACTATCTTCGTCAAGGTCACGCGCGCGAGCGGCGCGCGGCCTGGCGCGCTGTCCTTAGGTGTCACCACGTGCGACCCCGGCACGCTGAGGCCGGCCGACCTGCCCTTCAGCCCCGAGGCCCTGGTGGACCGCAAGGAGTTCTGGGCCGTGTGCCGCGTGCCCGGGCCCCTGCACAGCGGCGACATCCTCGGCCTCGTGGTCAACGCCGACGGCGAGCTGCACCTCAGCCACAACGGCGCCGCGGCGGGCATGCAGCTGTGTGTGGACGCCTCACAGCCGCTCTGGATGTTCTTCGGCCTGCACGGGTCCATCACACAGATCCGCATCCTTGGTGAGTGCCCCCTGCCGCGTGCCCGCCTTCCTCGAGGTGCATCCTGAAGCTGGCGCCTCCAGGCCTAGCATCTTGTCTTCCCTTGGAGGCAGGGTCTGTCTGGGAAGAGGGGAACAGCACCCACCCTGCCCCTTATGGGTTCTAGTCAAAGAGTCACTCTTTAGTCCATGGGACTCAATTTTTCTAGTCCATGGTTCTCAGATCTCACCAGATAAACCCTGGGGAGGGGGAGGAAAGCAGGGAACACTGAGTTTCACGCTCAGAATCCGAGTCACCCACATTCCCACGTACATAAACAACCCTCATACACATTGCCCAGTGGTCATTTAAAAATGGGAAAAAAAATTGTTCCCACCAGCGATGAACTTTTTGAGGCTCAGTTTCCATTTATCGAAAAATGGGAATGAAGTCCTCTACCTCTAAGGATATGGTTGTGTGTCTAAATAAGATAAAGAGGGTGGCATGTCAGCAGTCAGGTATCTCTGCAGAGCAGTGCCTGGACTGGGGGCTTTTGGAGAATCCCTGGGCTGGAGGAAATGGGGTTGCAGATGCCTGGGCCTTCCTGGCTTTGAATGGACAGAGTCTGCATGGGCTGTGTGATGTGGGTTTGGACAAGCTGTATTTCGCAGAGCACTCTGCAGGGTGCTGTGCTCAGCCCCTCAGTTGTGTCAGATTCTTAAATCCCACCTCCAGAAATTGGGATTCTGTAGATTGCAGATTAGGTCCTGGGCATCTGAAGTGTTTCTTCCTTAGCAAATTTGGTTAGACAAGGTTGGAGACCCCTGAGCCTCACAGCTCCCAACCTAGACCTCACCCCAGAACACTTCATAGACATGATAATGTGTGTATGTGAGCATGAGTAACACTGTAAGATTGGCATACTGTGTCTAGGCACATGTGAGCAGATGTATGTGTATTTGTGTATGCAATGCTGTTGGTACTTGTGAGAGTGTATGAGAGTTTTGTGAAATTGGGTAAAATCAGTGGAGACTTCCTCCTCTGGAAAAAGACCAAGTGAAGATGAAGTGTAAAACAAATTGTAAAAAGAATGAAAAGAAATGGGACTAGGGTGCTAAGAAATTAGGATTGAGGGAAGATAAGTCAGGGAAGAGTGAAAAGAAATCAGGCGAAACAAAAAGACATCAGAAAGGAAAGAAATTGGCTTAAAAATTCAAGGTGGAATAAAAAGAAACCAGACTAGGGTGCAGAAAAAAAAAATCAGGCTGAGGTACAAAGATATTTGGCTACAGTCACCAGGAGACACTGCTCCTCAGATAAAGGATATTACATAAGGGCAAGGTAGTTTCTTGCATCAGCACCATCTAATAATAGTTAAGTAGCTTTCCAGTGAAGCTTCTGTTGCTCAAAGAGGCTTACTAGACTAGAGCAAAGGAGAAGCTTAAAAAACAAACAAAACCCCCAGGACTTAAATATCCCGAGAGAGAAGTAGGCCAAGGTGGGCGTTGAAGATTAATCATTCAAAATTTAACATATGCTAAACAACGTGCTCCTGAGCTGTTTGGAGAATTGGACATCTTGACTAGCAAAGTGGTGATAGAGGATCCTGACTCTAAAGGAAAAACAAATCAGTAACAATGTATGGAAGGATGATTATTTACTTCATAGAAGAATGCTTTTGGTTTGTTGAAGGCCTAAGTGAACTAAGAATGAAAAGATATTTCCTTCACTCTAAAATTACAGCCAATTTCATGTTTCATGGTGAAACATTAGAAACATTATCATTGAAGTCAAGAAAATGATGAAGATGCCGTATAGTATCATTCTGAAAATACTAACCAGTGCAATAAAGCAAGAAAAGCAAATAGGAGGTATAAATTTCTGAAAGAAGGAGATGATAGTTCACTTAAAATGTGTTAACACTACTAAGAGAAATCCTATGGACAGCTAATAAATATTCTTAGAAACAGTTACTGTTAAATGAATTAGATTGAATAACTAAATTAGACTGAATAACTAGTAATAAAAAATATCTCATTGAGCACTTACTTGTGTGTAGGGCATTATGTTAGGGCCTGTGGGAAAGTCACAGGTGAGTCAGGCTTTCTGCTCTCAGGAAGCTCAGGGTTTAAATAGGGAAACATTACAAAGTTACATTCCTGGGCAAAGCACAAAATAATTTCCCAGGTTCTGTGATTGCTTATTTTCATGCATGGTATGTATGACTGGTCAGTGCTAGATAGAGATATGTGGTGGTGTGGTGGGGGGAGTCAAGGCTGGCTGGAGGAGGGAATTGAGGAGAACCCCAAGAGACTCCCTGGACAGTTAGCTCTTTAGGGGAAAGGCTCAGTTGGTCTCTGAGCCTAGTGGCTGGGCTGTGTGGTCAGGCTGCACCACCCGTTTTCTCTCCTGGGAACCTAATGGAGGATGGAAACTCGAGCTTTCTCCCAGTGGGCCTCTGAGTGTCTAGGTCCCACCTTCCCGCCTTCCCTCCCTTTCTGCAGGCTCCACCATCCTGGCAGAGCGGGGCATCCCATCACTCCCCTGCTCCCCCGCCTCCACACCAACCTCCCCCAGCACCCCGGGCATCCGCCTCTCTGACCCCTCACTCGGCACCTACAGCTCTGGCCCTCTGGGGAGCTCTGCTGGAGGTAAGTAGGCTGGCCCCTTTGGTTCCATGTGACCATGTGGCAGCCCTTCCACTCTGAGGGACCTGCCCACCAGCCTGGCTGGGGCAGGTCTGCAGACTGGGCCCTGGAGGAGCTGGAGATGGGCACAGTGAACCCAGGTTGAGTGGTGATTCCTGGGCTGTGTCCCGTCCTGTCCCTCAGCTGGGCGGCTTTCTCCAGAGGACTTCTTGAGCACAAAGACCACCAGAGGGTAGCTCAGCAGGGGCCTCCCCCAGGGGGCTCTGGGCCGCATCCTTCCTCCATCCTTCCTGCCTCTTCTCGTTGCTTCATGGACTGCGTGGCCCCTGGTCTGGGCATGGAGGGGCCGGAAGTGGGGCTGTCCAGAGTGCATCCTCTTTCCTCTTGTTCCCAGGAGGTGGGTGGTAGGGTAGACAGGCTGATCCCGATCCATGGAGGAGGAGAGGCTGGGGCTTTCTTCATGAACCTAGGACTGACCACATTCATGTCTCCCCCTCACTGCTGTCCCCGTGTCCCCAGGGACAGCCCCCAACTCACCAGTGAGTCTGCCCGAATCACCAGTGAGCCCAGGCGGGGGCCCGTGGAGCGATGAGTGCACCATTTGCTATGAGCACGCAGTGGACACGGTCATCTACACGTGTGGCCATATGTGCCTGTGCTATGCCTGTGGCCTGCGCCTCAAGAAGGCTCTGCACGCCTGCTGCCCCATCTGCCGCCGGCCCATCAAGGACATCATCAAGACCTACCGCAGCTCCTAGCCATCACAGACCCACCCGCTCCCCAGCTTCCTCCGACTCCGGTCCGGCTCCAGCTGAGGCGCAAGTCAACAGGGCCCCTTCTCTTCTTCCTCATTTTGGAAATTCTTTCCCCTTCTCATTAAACTTGGGAAACAGCCCCTGAGGTCTGGGGAGGAAGGGGTGTCAGGCTGGGAGGTGGGGGCAGAAGCAAGTCGCTGCTCTTCCCTGCAGGCTGAGGGGCTAAAGCGGGGGTGTCTCAGCCTGTCCTGGTCCTTTCCTGCTTGGGGTGGATTCCCAGGAGGTCTCTTTAGCCTGTGTGGCACCTTTGTGAACATTAGAAAGTGCATCCCTTCCTCTGGGCAGATGCGGCTCTGAGCCCAGACATGCGGCTTGGCTAGTGGAGTGTGGACTTGGACTTCAGCCTGTTTTCTCCTTCGGCCAGCTGCCCTTGAGCAGTGCACAACCTGTACAATGGCAGCCCTGGGCAGGCAGCCTTACTCTCTGACCTTCCCTCACTGTCTCCTTCCTTCTTTCCCTGCCCCTTGGGCCTGGCAGCCAAGGGTAAGACGGCCAGTGGATCCCTCTCATCGCAGGAGGGCTGCCGCCTCTGTGCCATGCCTGTCTCCCACTCACCCTGGATGGGTGGACAGACAGAGGCTCCAGAAGCCTCTGGGTTCTGGGTTGCCAGCCCCCTGGCCTGATCTAGACGTGGAGGGCCCCTTCCTGGTCATGGCCTGTTTGCCTCAGTGGGCTCAGGGATGCTCTTGCCTGGAGGCAGCCCCTTGGCGTGGGCTACAGAGCAGGGTAGGTCTTCTATCAGGCTTTAGCATCCCTGGGAGAGGCCAGGATCCTGGGTTGGGAGTAGAGGACTTCTGGAGTAAGAACGGCTCCCCCCCTCCCCGTATTTTTATTTATTTATTTATTGGGTTTGTAGGGGTTAATTTGGGTGGGGGGAGTGAATTCCCACCCCCAACACCCCTATAAATGCTGCCCTAGTAGGTGGAGTGCCTGGTTGGAGTGGCCAGCAGAGGTTGTCATCACTTAAACTCTTCCCTAAACTCCAGCCCACAAGTCCATAGCCAGCTCTGCTTACCGTGAAATAGAACTCCATAGAAAGGGGCCGAGTTGGGATGCCTTCTGGCAACTTGTGTCCACTTTCTAGAGAGGGTAGCAGGGCCTCTGCAGTGCCCTGGGACTAGTGGATCACCCGGAGCCACAGAATGCCCTTCTTGGACTGGAGCGTGGGTATCATAACTGGCTCATATACATCAGGAGGCCCGAGTTCGCCACTCCGTAAGGACATGAAAAGGTCTGGGCAGGCTGGGGGAGGGAAGGTCAGCTGGTCTTGTCATTGTAGGCACTCTGTCCCCCGGGAGAGAGAAGGGGGTGAGTCCCAGCACCTCTAGGTTCTTGATACTGATTTTGGAGTGAGGAAGCACCTCCAGCTGCCCTTAGGTTATGGTCATCTCAGCCCTGCACACCTGTCCTGGTAGGCCGTGGGCTGGGGCCAGCTCTCAGAGTCCTGGCCAAGTCTCCCCGAGCCTCCAGCCCTCTGTCCCCTCAGAAGGCTTTTTTACGCCCATTGGAGACTGCTTTGTTACATGGCCTGCAGAGCATGGGATTCTAGACCTGGCCACTGACCAGTTGTGTGACCCTGGCCAGGTCACAGTCGCTCTGAGCCTCAGCTGCCACCTCTGTAAAATGATTGTTGGGGGTGTGGGAAGACTTTTTTTGTGACTCTTGGGGGGTTCTTTGGTGGTGGCTGCTATGGGGTGGTGTGGTGGGAAGCACAGGGAGGGAGGGTCACGATGCCAGGCTGGCCCTATCTGTACCTGCCTTGCCAGGGCACCTTTGGGAAGTCACCATTCTGCCATGGGTCTCTACTCCCCACTAACCCGGTAGACCTCTTCTGTGGGAGTGGGGTGAGATGGGGCTGGTGGTGGCCCCAAGCAGTCAGGGCGCCCATCCCAGAGGCAAGGGAAGTTCATAAGTGCAGGGGCTGTGTGGCCTGAGGGTCAGAGAGAAGCCATCCATCCCATTGTCTCTGTTAGTGTGAGGGTAGCCGCTGCCTCCTTTGTGAACTTGGATCACCGTGATTGTGAATAAAGGTGATTTCGTACCAGCCTGAGGGCTGTGCCGTGCAGTATGGAGGGCTGGGGAGGGAGGAAGGGTGGGCCAGTGTGTGTGTGGCGGGGCGGTGGTGATGGTGATGGAGGTGTGGAGGAAGAGGGCCTGGTGTCCTGGTACGAGGGGCAGGGGGAGGTGGCTGGAGCATGGCCTGGGGCTTGTACAGCAGAGGCCAGAATGCCAGGTGAGCCTCGTCGTAAGCTGAAAGGGAGAAGCCACTGTCCTTCCGTGACTGCAGGTCTCTGGATCTGTCAAGAGCAGGAGCCACAGAAGTCCGTGAAGCACTCCTAAAGGCTGAGCCGGAGCTGAACCTGTGTGCAACCTTTGTGGAGCGGCGGCGCCACCTAGGGGCTAAAGGGAGGATGGCAGGGGCTGTGCTGAGCTCCCAAGAACTGGGTCTGCCCATCCCTCACCCCAAGCCCAGACCTCTTGCCTCTGGCTCAGCTCAGCTGTGCTCCCACTGGTGGGTGCAGAGGCTTATGCCAAATGGGTGGCACAGCTAGTTAGAAAGGGAGGCCTCTGGCTAGGGACCTTTGGAAAAACTTCCTAAGTGGGCTGAGTACATCTAGGTGGCTGTGAAAGCTGGAGTGCCAGAGGGGGTCCAGGCACGATGTGGGGACCGAGTTCATCTGGCAGCCTGAGCCTCCGAGGGGCATGGGATGCTTGCCTTCCTGCCCTCTCTCCTGGGAGGATGCTCTGGCTGGCCAGCCTCTGCCTGGCCTTGAATGGCCATGGGCTACTTCCTACACCAGAACTGCTCAGCCTTGCTTACTGCAGTCCAGCAAAAGTAGGGGACGGTCAGGGGCTCCAAGCGGAGGAGCCGTGGAGGCCCACTGGCTGTGGTCTTGGTGGCCCCAAGGTCTGTATCTCTAAAAGCCTGGGTCACTGGCCAGAAAGCCTTCCAAAGGTGGGGAAAGGGGTGGGGAGCTTGAGCATGCTTCTCACCAGCAAGGGTGGGAGCTTACATGTTTCCCCCTACCCCTCCAGTGTCCTCGGAGGGCCCGGACCCTAAAGTTCGTGCCTCATTTGAGCATAATGTGACTTTTGCCACTCAGCTGGATGTGTTTCTTGGTGGCAGGGAGAATCAGGAGGTGATTCTGTTCAGTTAAAAAGGCAAAAACTTTATTTAGTTTTGGGGGAAATACAAGATGCATGTAAACATAAAATACAAAACAAAACAACCCAAATCTTACAGTCTAGAAGCATGCCAAGACAGAATATTTTCTGCAGACCAAAGAGTCCCGTCAAAATGATAGAGGACACCTGGAAAGTGGCAGGTCAAGGGACTGGGTCCCTTCCCCAAGGACACTGCATTTTTGTGATGAGAACAACTGAAAAAAAAAAACCCACTATTAAAAATATTAGAAACATGGAGACAGTTTAGCACCACCATTGAGCTTGGAAATTTTTTAGCACTCAAACTGCACTGAATTCAGGGTCCTTTTTTTCAGTTTCTCTGCTGAGGGGAGAAAGGGGAATGACCTCCTTCAGCCCCACAGGCCCCAGTAGGAGCTGGGAGGGGCTGTGTGGACACTGTGAGGGACGCCCCAGAGACATCCAGCTAGCTCACATGCAACCACGCAGTCCACAAACCCATGTTTCACAAACCTGCCACTCACACCTGCCTTGTTCAGAAGTCGCCTTCCTGCAGATTTCCTGTAAACTGACTGTGAAACCCTTTTCCCATCCTGTGTCCTGGATGTAAAGAAGACCTGTTACAGAGACAAGTTGCAGACCCAAGAAAGGAGGCTCTGTTTACCTTTCTCTGAAATGCTCAAGAGCAGTATGTCTTGCTCACAGGCCACTAACACGATGACTGCATTGCACCCTGTCTTCTGAGTCACACCAGTGAGGCAGGCTCAGCAAACTGAAACACCATAGACATCGTTAGAGATACTCAAGAATTAACTGGCGTCAACAGAAGAGCAAATGAGGTTGCCTTCCTCCCAGGTAATGCTGGATGGTGTCTGGACCCCAAAATTTCAGTCTGAGGATGGTGGGTCCCTACTACATGAACCATTCTGGTTACTGGTCTCTGGTTCAAGTAATTTGAGAGGCCAGTTCTGGATTGGACAAAGAGAGGTGGGCAAAACCAGCCTGGGAACTAAGAGATGGAGGAATGTTCTCCAAATTCAAAGATTGGTTTGTTGCTGGCAACTTACGCTTTCTACTAAGTAAATCAGTTACTGTTAAGAACATGCTTGTGGCAACCCAGCTTGTGGTCCAGCAACTAGCAGTTTCCTCTGGTCAGCCTCTTCTACAGCCAAATCTCGAGGCTTTCCCAGCCTATTCCAGCTGGGCCCTTGGGTGTTGAATCACTAAGTTTCCTCCCTACTGGCTTGCTTCTTTCTGAAACACTCCAAATTCACTTCTTCCTTCTTTCTAATAAAGACAAAACTCCAGACTCCAAATCCTGACTCAACCTCCTCACTCTTTTCCCTTTCTGCCTAGCAGACATCCTCTTCTGGGAGTTGCCTTCCTGAGGAACGGATGGAAAACCCCAGCCACCCCAGTCTCTCACACATTCATCTCGCCAACGTGCCTCTCACTCACTTCCAACGTGCTCGATCCATACTTTTGCTTTAAAACGATAATTCTTCCTTTCTCTTTCTTGCCTCCTGAGGTGCAGCCCATTAGCCAGGATGGAAATGGGAGCAAAGGAGGGACCTTCATCGCAGGGACCTATTCTCTAAGGCCACTAAGTTCTGGGACAGAAGAGGAAGCTGATTGTCAAGTGCAAACTCAAGATTAGAAAGATAGGATTGGGGAAGGGGGGGGAATCGCATGGTAAAACCAACTTTACATGCAGGTTGGGGTCAAGGCCCAGGAAGGCAAAGCCCTCCACCCAGTCTATAAGCACCAATGTACGTGCCCAACTTCCAGCCTGAGGACCCAGCTGCACAGGACAAAATGGGGAGGGACTCTACCATCAGTGGGGCTGTGCTTCCCGAAATGAAGCTATAGGTCATGACCCTGTTCTGTCACTGGCTATGACCACAGAACTGGAGAACTAGAGGCCACCCCAGCCAGAGATCATGATTTAGGCAAGAAGCTCAGTAATGTCACGGGGGAACCCTCCACATGACCCCATGAAGTGTTCAGTTGGGGCTGGCGGTCTAGATCAGGGCGTGATGTGCCCACATAGGCAAGTGACCCAATTCTCACCCCGACCAGCCTGACCCACCCTCCGCCACACGAGAACTGAGGGCAAGCAGCTCTCAGGACACGGGAGTTCCCACAGTGGTGACACGCACAGCAGAGGCTGGGAGGCAGCCTGCTAGACACGTGTTTGCAGGTGGTGGCCCTGTCTGAACTCCTCAGCACTTCCACACCCAGCGGTGCCTCCTTTCCACATCTTCATTTTGGAGCCCGGGACAATGGCCTAGGCTGCTTCTGCTAGATCTGTTAATGCCAGTGTGAAGTTTCCAACTAAATACTTAATAAAATAATTACAAAAAAAAAAAAGACACATTGCACTCTCCAGCCAGAATTATGCGTGTGAATAACACACACACTTGCTGCCAGAAGCTGTGAGTCCTGTGGGGCCTGCCCAATGCCAAGGACTTGTTCAATGGAGACAGCTTGCCCAGTATCTCTTTCCTCTAACCCCATGTTATTTAGTTCAAGTGGGAAATGACCAACACTCACACATATGCACTCTCATGCGCGCGCACACACACACCACATACACAATGCACTTACTCAACAACACACAGCCCTCAAAAAAGTGAGGGAATCTTAATTCTTTAGCAATGTGGATGATTCTCTTTCCAGAGAGCACTGCAATTGAGCGTCTAGAAAATTGGACCTATAGACGTATCCACTCTAAGGAGACAGACCCACCCATGGGGGCACAGTCCCACTCTGGGCACCAGATCCGTATTTGTACAGAAATTCATCAAATGGGTTGGAGCAGCAAGTGTACAGTACTGGAGGGGGAAGGGATGGGCCAGCGAGGTTGCACCTGTCACCCTGAGGGGCAGGGCTCCCAGGGCTTGGACCCAGAGACTTCCCATCTTGCCCTCTCTACCGGCACCCGGGTAGGAGGTGGCAGCTTGGTACCTGTTGAGGGAAGTTCTGTCCTCAGGGACCTCGGCAGGCTTCTCCAACACGTTTTTTTGAGATCTTCTGGGGACTGTTGGGGTGTTGAGCAGAGGCAGGATCATGCCTCGCTCGGGCTGAAGTCATTGAGATGAATGGGTGGCCCCGGCTCAGTGCCAGGCCCAGCTGCAGGCTTGTCGGAACTGGTGTCACTGGAGGATGCTGGGCTCAAGGCACCCACATACCCCCTGAAGGATTTGGTTACATTGAGGGTTCCTGCTCATAAACTGAACTTGAGGTTACATAGTTTTAGAAAGACTCAAACATACATCAAAAGGATCATGGCCCAAACATCAAGAGATTGGGGTGAGAGAGGGCTGCTAAGGGTGATTTTTAGGACAGGTCTTTCTGAGCAGCTGGCTGAAAAAGAACGGAAATGAAAACAAGGAGCAGTTCCTGGAGGTCCTTGCTGTGCGCCGAGGGCTGGGGCCCTGGGAGGCTGAGCGCCCCATGCCACTTCCCTGAATCCCTTTCTTCTGGGTGGACAACACCCAGCAGAAGGGGCTGCCCTCTGGCAGAGACCCCTGCCATCTTGCCAGGGAAGGGGGAGGGGGAGGAGGGATAAAAAAATATCAATACCCAGGTCACCTGTTGGCTCCACTGCTGACTCCTTCCAAGAGCCCCACCTCCCCCAGCAACACATGGGGCTGCTGGCCCTCCCCGCCACTGTCCTACAAGCCCTGGCATCCCTCTTGATAATATTGCACTTTTCCTGTCTCTCAGATTGTTTTCATTTTCGATTGAGAATGCAAAGTATTTGGAGGGGGAGGGGAAGTGAGTAACCTTATAGAAATTATATATTAGTTAAATACAAAAAACAGGAAAAGTAGGGGTTACTTTTTTCCCTTAAAAACAAAACAAAAAACTACCAAACCAAGGTCTAAACTTAAATAGTTCTACATCTATTCTGCAAATACTAGTAATATGAAAATAATGCTTGACCGAAATTCCCTTTTTTTTTTTTTTTTCTTAGATGATAAAAGTAGTAACATGCCTTGCTGAGGAAAGCAATGGATATAAATGCCTGTAAAATATGCTGCTCTAACATCTGAAAGTGATTAAAACGATTCTATATAATGCCTTCGTCAAGATGGAGAACAATGGAGGAAGAAAGAGGGGCCTATGGGGCCAGGCTTGGGGGTGGAGGGGGCTGAGGGCTGGCGAGGGGACCCGGTCACAGCTGGCACACCTGCAGTTCAGGCTGCCCCTTTCAGCTCCCTCTTGCTGCTCTTGGGGGTCCCTTGGCCTAGTGGGAATAGCATGATGGGTGCCAGAGACCCCAGCCAGGTCCCTGTTACAAAGTGGGAGACAGATGAAAACATCTTTTTCCCTTGTAATAAAGTCTTTAAACTGAAAGAAAAAAGCACCAAAGGATGCATCTTCAGGCATTATATAAACCTCAATAATGACCTCAGAAGGGCTCATTATGATTAAAGTTGCAGTATACAGCAATACAACGTTATTTCACATTTTCAATCACAACTAATGGAAAACTAGGTTTGGACACTGCTGAGATTTTTTTTTCCTTTTTTAATCCGATCTGGTTTTCCTCCAGATGGGTCAGAGCCCCAGGCCCCTTCCCTCCTCTACCTGCTGCCAGCAGTACCCTCCAACATCACAAAGCAGCTCAGTAGCTCTAGGGAAATGCCCTCTTGGCCCTGGGCAGGGCTAGGAGTCCAGGGGCGCAAGCCCTGGCATCCCCTGGCCATGACTGAGAGGGACTGGCATGCACCCTTCTTGCTTCAAGTATTAATATTCTCTTTGGGTTTGCAGGGTTTGTGCTGTGCTGTGAGTCGGGGTGATGGCGAGGGGCAAGGGGTGAAGTTGGGGCATGGCAATCCCTGTTCTCTGCCCAAATCTACATGCTGTCACTAGGTGGCAGCATTCTCCACTTTTCCTGGATGCCTGAGCAAGCCCCAGCCATCCTTAGGGCTGGATGTCACAATGTAAACATGATGACCACACTATAAACTCTAACGGGGGTGGGAAGGTCTGCCGTTAACTAACTGTGTGATTTGGGGAAAGCTAATTCCTGTCTTTGGGCTGCAGTTAACAGGAGGGTATGGCATGAAGTGATCCTGAAGGTCACTTAAAATGACTCTTTATCACCTAAGAGCACTGGAGATTAAGGAGACGGGGTCCTTGGCAGGGCTAGGAGAGCCCCACAGGGCAGTACAGTGGAAGAGGAAGGGCAGGGAAAGGCAGGCTCTAGGGAGCACTGTGGTCCAGTCCAACTGAGATGCTCTGTGCTTGGCAGATGGGTCCTGCACTCCTTCCTTCCTGGCCTGGCTGGCATTGAACTGGCTCAGTGCAGACATTGAGGAGTGAAGCCACTTGAGCCCTCCCCCTGGAAGATAGCTACGTGGAAGGTCCTTTAACCCGACAGTCACTCTACTTTTAAATTTTATTTTAAATAATCATAAATTACTTTTTTTCTTTTAATAAATATGTGCTGCTTAAAAATGAGAAAAGTATATACTGCATCTTTAAGTAATGCACTTTGCTCTCTGGGTTTCTTTCCATTCCACCTTATTAAAGTGCATTAATTAAAAAATAATGAACCACTTCTTTATCATTATTGTTCAAATAAGTCCAAATAATATTAATATAAAGACACTACAATACTACCATTAGTACTGCAATCTAGCAGATAACTCAACATCCTGCTCTATTTAATACTGTCCAGCAGAAGAAAATAACTAATTTTAATTTTAAACAAAAGGAAGCAAAATCTCACCACGGCCCTTTCAACAAAGAATGGGAGCAGTCTGCTAGAGCTGCCAGGCATCAGTGTATGGTGGGGGGGGGGAGGGGGGAGGCTGGGGGCACGAGGCACAGGTCCCGTGCTGTTTTTTCCAGCAACATACACTGCCTGGGTGGGGAGCAGGGGTGGAGGGAGGGCCTTTCCTCCTCAGTCCAGGATCTGGCAGCTAAATCAGTGGCTGTGAAGCCTGATTTGTCCACAATCAAAGGCACGTGTGGAAATCTACTCCCAGCAAAGAGCGAGTCCTCAGGGAAGCCAGTGTGGCCTCTGAAACAGAGTTGAGAGGGACTTCACGTTCTCCCTTCTTGCTTCACAGGGGCGCTGCCCCTAAGGAAGCCCGGGTTGACTCCGGGCCCAGGGATCTTCATCTTCTCGGGTGTTGCTTGCAGGCCACGGGATGGCTGGTGGTGTCTGCCCAGCGGGGTTCCCTCAGCCCAGGGTGGGGCGACCGAGACTTCTCCACTGCCTACATGTGAGGCTTTGGGCCCTGCCCGGGCTGGAGAATGTACACTGTTCCTCTCCTGAACGCCATCCTCCTCCCTGGGGAGGGTCCTGCCCTGCCGAGGTGGCGCAAGAACCGAGAGCGCAGCATCTCTGCTTTGCCATGTCCAGGGCTGGGGCTTCTCCCGCCTGAAATCCCTCTGGCCAGCGCTGGTGCTGTCCACACAGTGGAAACCAAATGAAGCGACTTCGGCTTGTGGAGAGGAAGAATGCAAAACGCAAACCCAACCAACCTCCCCACAAGAGTACGACAGAAATGCCACCTTCTCCCCAAGCCATCCCGTGAGGCTAACTGCCCTTGGGCCCCCAACAACCCCTAAAATAAGACCAAAAACCCAAGGCCTGACACAGAAGCCCTAAAGCAATATGCCTCTCCTAAAACATGCAAAGGAACTGCCCACCCAGAAAAACCCAAAAGAAAGTCTGTGCAGACTGACGAGACTGATGGCTCCACCCGCCTTCTCTGTAAGCTCTGGAGCTGGTGGTCCTCCACTGCATGCCCTGGACAGGTGGGCACTCTTCCCAAGGCCAGCGGCAGTGACGGCTAAGAAAGGGGATCCCTGCTGGCACCTGGGCAACTGCCTTTTCTTCCGCAGGCACGGACGGAGGCCCGGCCCAGGGACAGCCTGAACTCACAAGAGATATCTCCAAGCCCCAGGGCCAGTGGTGTCTCCTACCACACCCACCCGTGGCGGGTGGTGGTCCCTGGGAAACCAGGATAATTCACAAATACAGGTTAGGACGATACAGGGGCTATTTCGGAGGCCAAGTTAACAGCCACTGAAACCAGGCTAGGCAGGGGCAGGGCACGCGAGGCCCCTACAACCACATCTTTTCCAGATTGGCAGCCAAGGCACAACTTGGGGTTTCCCACATGGCCTGTCCCAAATGGCGCCGAGTCCATCAGCAAAGTCCCCAAGGTGCACACTTGAGGCTCAGCTTTCTCGCCTCTGATCCCAGGCCCAGGGCACCCCTGCCCATTCCCTTTCCCTGCTCAATGTGGGCCCCCACCAGACCCCACCTTCCAGCTGGGGTCTTTGCGGTCACACATTCCGCAGGTTTCTGTTGTCCTCCCCACCCCCTCCCATTTCCCCTTTCCCTTTTGTCTTGTTCCCGCTCACCCACACTAAGGCTGGAAGGACCCACGCCCCCCACTAGTTCTTTTTCTCCAGGTAGTTGGAGGGCACCCAGCCTTTGAAGGGCTTCACCCCGTCCAGGATCTGACAGTACCACCAGCCGTTGGGGTTCCTCTCCAGGACCTCCATGGACACGCCCTCCTGGAAGCCCGCCGTCTCGTCGTCCCCCTCATAGTCTGCGATCGAGACGTACACATCTTTGAGGTTGTTGTGGATGAACTGGGACTTCTCAATGGGCTTGGGGCGCACGGGGGACACGGGGATGCCATTGCGCTGAGTGGGCAGCAGGGGGGGCTCCGAGCCCTGGCTGGCAGCGCGTTCAGCCAAGCGGCCCTTGGCCTCTGCGGCTGCCGAGCGGGCGGTGCTGAAGGAGGAGTTCCGGCGGACGCCTCGGAGGCTGTCGGTGGCCGTGAGCGACTCGTTCCTCCTCAGGGCGCAGGACAGGTTACTGTCCTTGGGTGGCGGGGACACGAACACCGACTGGGGCCTGACGGCCACCTGCCGCACGCCGTTCCTCATCTTCACCGCCCCAGCGCCCGAGGTCTTGCCGAAGCCCCCGGGCGGCTTGGAGGGGATGGGCGGCGTGGCCCTTTTGCTCTGGTTGACGGTGTTGAGCGCTTGGACGCGCTTCTCGATCTTTTCCAGGCTGTCCGACTTGCCCTCGTTCTGCTTGCTCTTGGGCGCCACTGTGTCTGTCTCTTTGCCAGGAGGGTCGGATGGCTCGTTCTCACCGAGCACCAGATAGTGGGAGGGGGCCCAGCCCTCCAGCTCCCCAAACCTCACGTACCACCAGCCGCTTTCTAGCTTTTCAAGCACCTGTACCTCCACGCCCGCGGGGAAGCTGATCTCCGAGTCCTGGACCTTCTGGTAGGCACTGCATGTTGTATAGGAGGTGGCCTGCCCTTCCCGCCCCTTCTTGGTGGGACAGGGGGGCGTGGCGGCAGGGAGGGTGATGAGGTCGGCTGAGCCTCTCCTGGACCCCTCGTTGGGACCCTCGAAGGCCGTCTGGGGGGGCAGCTCGGAATCCTCGCTCTTGGAGCCCTTGAGGCCACCCCGGAGCTGGCCCGTGGGCCTCAGCTGGCGCCGTAAAGTGCTGATGTCCATCTTCTCTTGACTCTGGGACTCTGAGCGGTTCAGGAACGGCTTGGGCCGAACTGATGGCTTGGCCCGAGCACAAGAGGTCAGGCCAACCTTTGGGTCGGCATCCTTCTTCGTCCCGACCTTGGGAGTGCCACGGATGCCCGCGTCCGAGGCAGAACGGGGCTTCAGGTCCCCGCTGTTCTTGGATAAGGATGAGGAGGAAGAGGAGGAGGAGGAGGAGCAAGTGGTATTGATGGTGATGGAGGAGGAAAAGGAGGCTGAGGAGTGGTTCTTTCCCAGTTCTGCCTGGGCGTTCTTCTCCGCCTTGAGCTTCAGAAGCGAGGATGATTTGGGGGAGTCCGATCTGGGGGAATTTTTCCTGGCAAGGGACAGTGGGGAGCCCCCTGGGGAGTCGCTGTCTCGGGAGGAGCGTCTGGCCGACAGGCCGTCCTCTACACACGGCCGGAAGCCCTCGTTCTCGTAGATGGTCTCCTCCTCCAGGGCCACGTCCTCTGTGGATCCACCCACCTTGAAGCGGGCGCGCTGCAGCGAGGAGGCGGGCGAGGGCCTGCGGGGCTGGGTGGGCCGCCTGTCCCCCGAGCCACCGTCCTCCGTGGGCTCTTCGCTCAGCTCCGGCTCTGAGTCGAAGCCAAAGGCAGGGATGTCATACTCGGGCTCCTCGTACTTGAGCCTCAGAGGGGAGTCCTGGCTCTCGCCGGGGCCAGCTGGACCCTCGTCGGCCTCCTTGGGCTTGCTGGGCGGTGCCGGCGGGGGCACCTTGGGCCGTGTCAGAGTGCTCGTGCGGCGGCTCAGGTTGGGCTTCTTGCGCTTATCAATGTAGGACGCGGGGGCCCAGCCCTCCTTCTCACCAATCTGCACGTACCACCAGCCACCCGAGTTCTTGTCGATGACCTGGGGGAAGGGGCAGACAGGCCAGTGAGCTGGGGTACTCGCTGGGGCCCGACCGTGTGCTGGCCTGGGACCTGACACTAGGCTCTAGAGGACAGTATCTCCACTTCCTGGATGAGCTAATACCACCGACTAAGTGGCGCAGGACCCAATGCAGGAAGTGATGGGGTGGCATTCAAACCCAGGTCTCTGTCATCTCCAGGGTGGGGGACTCCCTCTTTCCAAGGCTCCCTCCCCTGTTCTTGCAAGTCTCTGTCAACACCCTGGTGGAGCTGGCCTCCTGCACAGACGCTCACTTCTCTTCCTGCTGAGCTACTGCAGATGCCCTGTTCTCAGTCCCTACAAAGCCCCACCTGCCAGGGACCCATCTGTACAGAAGACTGCCTCTCCAACACTCCCATCCTCCAATCACCCGTGCATTGCTCGCCCTCCCTCAGAGTCCCTGGAAAGGGTCTCTCAGGGCAGAAGAGGACAGGAGGGTGTGGGTGAGTGGAACTCAGAGGTAAAGCTTGCGACCAGATCTCCCTGGTTTTCCCACTGCCCACGGTCATTTCACTCCACTGAAATCCCACCACTGAGGACATCTCTTTGAGTTGGTTTCCCATGGGAAGGCTGGGGCTCTCAGTCATTCCCACGTGAGTATAAACTCACTCAAGAAGCTTGTTTCTAAACTGCTACTTGAGACTGGAGAAAGGCCAGGAGTGTGCTTGCCGGCTGTAACGAGGGCTTTCCACGTGTGCAGGCTCCGCATTCCAGGATACAGGGGCCAGCTGCACTCTTTCTATAAGGGCATCGAGCATCCCAGGATCTGGGTCGTGGAACCAACCCCCCACGGATCCCGAGGGACAAGTGTAATTTTGAGCTATGGAACACTCCTGGAGGAAGAGTTCCAGGGAGAAGGAAGGAGGCTTGAGAACATTGGCTCTAGGGGAAGAGGGGCAAGGGAGGAAGGAGAAGAGTCCTTCTGCAGCCAGCTCTTGGCAAACCCTGCCTGCCTTGGGTCCTACATTTCATCCCTCACTCTGCCCGCTCCACACTCAAAATGCCTGCTTGTGTAGATCCTAAGAATGTCAGTTCTCTTACACTATGAACTTTGTAGGCCCTTCTGGAAGCACAGGCACCACTTGAGAGGATGATTTATCTTGGAAATTTAGTTCTAAGTTCTAGGCATGTGATTTAAAGCATCCACTTTGGGGATATCACCTCCTCAATAGGTAGAGACTGCCCAATTACTCTTCTGATGGTTTTACAGGAAGTACTGGATTTAACTCTACTACACAGAGCCACCCAAGAGAAATGACTGAGTTACAGATCTTCTCTGGCCCCTGGAATGTCACGTGGAGTGCTGGTCCCAGAGCAGGGTCTCATAAATGCTAGGAGATGGGTTGGAAGGGAGCAGGAAAGGGCCTATGACCCATTTGTAGAGAGAACTCAGCAAAACCTGGGGGAATAAATGCTAGAAGATGGACTGGGAGGGAGTAGGACAGGGCCTATGACCCATCTTCAGAGAGAACTCATTAAAGCCTGGGGGAGAAGTGCTTAAATCTAAGCTCAGAGGTGCCTGTGGTGTGGACATGGTCAGAACAGGGGTCCTCAGTATCTTACTCTGGCTGCCTGCTCCACAGTCTCCCAGCAACAGCACTTCCTAATGTAGGTCTTGTGGAACCCTGGCCCCCAGGTGCTCCTGGGCGAGGAAGCTAGGCAATCCAGTCTATTCCAGTTCCCTCTTAGAGACACACACAGTGACACCCCCATATCTAGGTTCTGAGGAGTTCTGCAATTAACACTACAAAGCTGGCTGGTTTTGTTTACCTCACTCTCCTCCAAAATCATTCTACTCTAGAAGCCCTTTGTTTCAAGGCGCCTCCGTCACAGGCTCCTGTGATGAACTTTGGGAAATGTTGGTGTGAGGGGAGCTGGGTGGAGACATGAGCCGTGGGTTCTAGTCCTGGCTGTGACACAGGCTTTAGGCAAATTTTCAGCCTTGTGGGTCCTGTTTCTGCAACTTTCTTGCCCACCCCTGAGGAATGTTGCCCACCCCTGAGGAATGTTGCCCCCCACCCCCCACCCCCAGACATAAATGGGAAACATGGGAGGTCTCCGACCAGCATGAGTTAAAACACTTAGCCTATGGCCCAAAGCTCACCTCTGCCTTCTGTCCACCTCGAAAGCTGATCCCATCAGAAATGCACGACTGGAATTCAGCAATTGTGTAGTACTCCACCTCAACAGAAGGGGGCTCTGGCGGCTTCGGCAGCTGGAATCCCTGAGGCAGAGAAGGGCTCAGTGAGCAAGACCCACCTGATCAGAATGGTAACAGAGGTGAGCATGGCACTTGCAGCAGCTGGACAGCAGCTGACCTGAAGATTATCAATCACCTGCGTCCCAGGGTGTCTCCCTAAGAGACCATTCTGCCCAGGCTCTCTAAGAATACCCAGGATTCACTTGCAACTTGTCAGAGCTATGAAAATGACCTTCTAGTAAATATCCACTCATATCTTTGGAATCCAGTTTTCAGGTCCCAAAGCGAACGTTAAAAAACAGAGAAACCGTTATAACAAAGCCCTACACACTGCCCCCCGGGAGATGAAAGTCACGTCCTTGAGTCTCAGGTGAAGCTCCACTGGGTGACACCTTGCTACAGAGGTGTGGGGTGGGTTGGTGAGAGAGCCCTTGGTCGGTCATCATGATGATGTCAAACGGTCAGGCAAGCATGGAATAAAGCTCAGGATCATTTGCTCTGGGGTGGGGTGATCATGCTGGGCAGCCTAAATGCTTCCTAGATGCTTGCATGTTGATACCTAAGCCTGACATGCAGAGAAATTTAGAATGTGGCCACAGCCCATGACCTGTGAGCCTCAATCATTCGTTTTACAAATGCTTGTTTTGTGTCTACTGGGTGTCAGACTCTGGTCCAAGGCATCAGGCAACCAAGAATGAACTAGGAGGACAACCCTCGACCTTGTGGAGAGGACATTCCAGCTTTGGCTGGTCTCTACTGTGACGGACGAGGACCTGGTGTCTTCCTATCACTTCCAGTACGTCCTGGGATCGTACAAAGAGGTAAAATAAAAAATTAAAAAGGTACATGTGTTTGGGAGGCTAGTGTTGGGAAAGCAGCTTTTGAGGACGACTTCAAATGACCCTGCCTTGCAGATGGATTCATGTGGGCTCCAAACCCAGGTCAGGAGTCCATCAGCTGTGTGCCCCTGAGAAAGGCCCTTGACCTTGACCTCTCTGAGCCTCAGTTTCCTCATCTGTAAAATGGAACTAATAACAGCATCAGCAGAGAATGAAAATAACTTCTGGTCTAGCCAGGGGCACAGGAAATGCTCTATAAATACAAGCCAAAGCTGAACTCCATCCTGAAACACCATCCTATTCCTCTTAACCTGCCTCATCCTTCAAGGCTCAGCATATTCTATTCCTACCAGTCACTGCGGAACTGTCTCAGGTCAGAGTGAGTGAAGGGTTGGGAGGATGGTTTTGAGGGATTGGATATGATCTGGTCAACTTTCCCTGCCCTGGTGCCTGGTCCTGCCGTTGTGAGCGTGTGCATATGTGGCCCTGGTCCCAGCCCAGCCTGACCCCCAGGCCAGTGGGAGTTAGCCAGACCTCGCTGGAAAGAGCAGCTCCGCCTCCATGGGCCCTGCTTTTGGTAGGTGTGGAAGAAATTACCCCATTCTTGCCAAAATCAAGTCTGCCTGAAAATAATCAGTGGGGCTAAGACAGATGGGAGAAGGGGAGAAGGCATTGTCCAGTTGTGTCAAATGCGGGGGTGGGGGTGGGGGTAACAAGACAGAAGGTCCACTGGGGCTGGTGGCCAGGCCAACACGGTCCCACCTCCAGGGCCCACACCTTCAAGGTCCTGTTTACAAAAGGGCCACCATTCCAGCGACTGCTGCTACCCCCTCCCTGGCGTGGAGGTCACTGATCACAGTGAACCTTGCTGCTAAGCCCTGATGGGACTGTGGAAGCCTTGTCCCCACACAGCACAGAGCTGACAGGACGTGGAAAGCCGATGACCAGCCTTCTACACACACCATCCATCCCACCCTCGTAACAGCCCTAGGAGATGAGGGGCATGGTTCCCCTCGCTTATAAATAAGGGGACTGAGGCCCGCGGAGGGTGAGCAACCTGCCCAGGGGCTCACTGCTTCTAAATATCAGAAGTGGAGCATGAACCACGCCTGGCAGACCCAAAGCCCCGCTCTTTCCACTGCATCCACTGCCGCGGGTGACATTTTTCAGTTCTAGGGCTCTCTCTGCCTGCCACCTCTCACCCCAAGCCCCAGCACCCTGAGAGCATATTGGCTTCCCTGACAGTCTGGGTGCCAGGAAATCCCACCCACAGGCTCCATGGACCCCAGCAGTACTGAGCCTCTTTGAGCTTCAGCCTATACCAGCCCCTGCCATTTGCTACCCTCCTGCTGAGGGTACTCACTGATCTATCCTCTGCCCTCCCAGGCTCTGGCCTCCATCGCATCCGTTGGGCACTTCCAAGCAAGGAAGGCAAAGCTGAAAGGCTTCCAGGCTCGCATGGAGAGCAGCCCTATTTCCAGCCTCTGGCAATGCCCTGGCTGGACACTCTCGCCAGCCAGTCTAAATGTTTATGTCTGCCAGTGCCGTGGCCGGGGTGGATTTATTTAGCTTTGGAGTGCAGTGCCTTTTCGATTAAAAACTGTCCAGCTAGGCCCCAGGAAGGCTGGGATCCCCTGGCTTTCCTCCCTGCCCCCAACCCCATGGAGCTGGAAGCCCTAGCATGGCCCTGGGAAAGCTCTGGACCAACAGGCTCTGCATGGAGACAGTCAACTACTGGAGGCTACGAGAGTGCACCCAGAAAGGGAACAAGGAAGACAAACAGCACACATACCAGGCTGGACTCTCTGCGAGGGGGAGGCCTTGTCCTTAGGTTCGGGGAGCCTAGAAGAGGAAACAGGGCTTCAAAAATCCAAGCCAGACAACAGTGCCTTCCCTGCCTTCTCTGGGCATGACCTCCTGATCCTGGAAGTCCCTGCTTTTGTCCCGAGTTTATGGGGAACCTGTGCTCTTGGTCACCACAGACAGCACAGTTGGGCTTCTTCTGTGGGAAGTCAGATCTTTAAGTTTCCTTAGCTGTGTTTCAAGGGGATACATGAACCCTCTAAAATGATGCACACATTTCAAAATGTACAGACACAGGGGCATTTTTTTCAGGGGAAAGGGTAGATAGCATGATCAGATTTTCAAAGTTAGGAGAAGAGACCATGTCTATCTACCAAATCCTTGGAAGCTAGCACAGTGTCAGGCAAGAGGAAATGCCCCCAAAACCCTTCCCAAGTGACTGCTCAGAAGGTTTCAGGCACAGAGCTAATTTAAATAAGTTCAGAACTAAACTGAAGAACAGCTTTCCTCCAGATTTTAAGAATGGCTGGATACAAACAGAAGCTGGCCTCATAATACAGAACAGTTTAACCCTCAACCACAGGCATCCCAGCCCCAGAGATTTGGAGGGGCCAGAAGCTGGGTTTCTCCTGCATGAAAGGAGGAGATTCCGGAAGAACACTGCTTGAAAGAGCTTGTGGAAGGAGGTACTCCCTTCAAGTGTCTCAGATTTCCGGTGGCTGGAGGAGGGCAACAGGGAAGAAGGGGTAAGGCTCAGCACGATGCTCTATCAGCTCATTTACAGAGCAGGCTTGTGTTGAGGGCCCCATTTCACAGTTGGAAGGAACTGACTTGTACACATGTGATTAGCACAAGACAAGCTGGCACAGCGAGCCTGGGGTCAGGGGAGAATAATCTGGGGGTCATGCACACTTGCCTTGGGCTTGCCCTACACCTCATGCCCCTTCTCTAAAGAGTGGTGCGGCGAGGACCCGGGGGTCTGAGAGGCTCTTACTGATCTGGGCCCTCTGAGGGGCAATCCTGGCCACGGCTGGGGAGCCCTGGGCCAGCTTGGAGACGGTCCTCTCGGGGATGCCCAGCGCGCTGCCATTGGAGGCATTGCAGAGGATGGGCAGGCTGATCTCCTTCTTGGTGATGGGGGGCTCCGGGCCCTCGCCTTCAGCCGGGGGGGTCTCCTTGTCCCCGGATGCCTTCTTGTTCAGCAAATTGCTGATCTCCATGATGTTCCCAATGATCTCCACCGGGCCTGCCAGATTCTTCTTCCGTGCTGGCAGCTCGTCCTTGGCTTTCTTCAGGTAGGATGCTGGCGCCCAGCCCTCTTTGCCCAGGTATCTGCAGGGAGGAGAGGGACCTGGCATCATGGGGGCACCCTGGCCAGGCCTCAGGCTCCATCTGGCCTTGCCTGGCTGAGCTTTCTCTACCGCACCTGCAAGACACTTGGCAAAGCCACTACTCTGGAGAGAACTGAATGAGGGCCAGTGGAAAGACACCTGGAACACAACTTCTTCCTCTCTGTCTCCTAGTTCTTTGCCTGATCCCTCTTGGTGTGGGCCCTCATGGTCTGCAAAGTCAGGCAGACATGGGACCTTGACACAAGAAGGTTCTTTAGATTTTGGGTTGCCTAAAAGGTAAATTTTACAATGACCTGCTGCCTCATGACAGCAGAGAGCAATTCCAGAGAAAAGAAATGAGAAGATGGGGACTTCCCTGGTGGTCCAGTGGGTAATATTCCACTCCCAATGCAGGGGGCCCGGGTTCAATCCCTGGTCAGGGAACAATATCCCAATGCTGTTTGCATGCTGCAACTGAGACCTGGTGCAGCCAAATAAATACATAAATAAAAATAAATATTAAAAAAAAAAAGGAATGAGAAAGTGAAGCTTCAATACTTTGGCCATCTGATGCAAAGAGCTGACTCACTGCAAAAGCGCCTGATGCTGGGAAAGATTGAAGGTAGTCCATGGGTTTGCAAATAGTCCAACACAACTTTGTGACTGAACATACACAGAGGTAGTTGGAAAGGAAAGTATGATCAGAGAAGTGAAGTGGCAGCACAGGTAACAGTCATGAAACCTGAGTTCTGGTCTATGGTACTTTGGAACACGATCCTCTCCTGGAGCTCAATTTTTTTTTTTCCTCTTCTGCAAGAGGCTGGGATAGAGTAGCTGCAAACATTTTTTCAGAAGGATAGACATAATGAAACCAACTGGGAAGATGTGTATAAAGAGTGCCCAAGTGGGGAAAGCATGCACTGCAGGAGGAGCAGACAGATCAAGTTCACAGAGCAAGTCCACAAATAGACCAACGCTAAACGGGACGACTCAAAGAACTTGGGCAAGGATGGGTTATTCAATGAGTGATCTGGGGACGACTGATGATCATCAGGAAAATCCAGTGAGACTCTGGCCTTATAACCGTATAGCAATATTAAAAATGCAAGTTGTGAATATCTCCTTAATCTTGGGGGTTGAGAAAATTTTTCTAAGTGGAACTCCAAAAGCAGAAACTATAAATGAAAAGCCTAAATAAAGCACATGACTGGATAAAATTAAAGCCTTTGGTATGGAAAAGCAAAAACAAAATGAAACAAAACAAAATGAAAACAAAACCCCAAACCCATAAACAAGAGCAAAAAGCAAATGACAGGGCCGACTTAATTTTAGGGGATTTGCTGACTTCTGAAAATAAGCTTTTCCCTTTTTCCTTCATGGTGTTGAGCTTTTACCCAAACCCACTGGGAACTTACTTCCTGGTCCAGCAATTGCTGGCCAATGCCCCAGAGTCTGGGGTGCAATGTCCCTGCCTGCTCCCTGGGACATCTGGCTCTCTGGAATGGCTCCTCCATGCCAGATGTTTGACAATAGCAGTCCCCCACCCCCTACCGCCTGCCTCCCTGATTGGGCCTGGTTCTTGGGGGCTTATTAGGTAGGAGAAAAGGGAATGTGAAAGTTTAAGGTTCTAACATGTTTGAGCTTTGCTGGAAAGCTCAGGTAGGAGGTGGCTTCCTATGTTCACTCACATGAATGTGCAGGCAGACTGACCGAGGCTTGTCTGTCTGGCCCCGTTTTGGGGCTTGGAAGGCACATATCAGTGAATAAATGGATGGAAGTCAGAGAGCAGGCAGACAGAAGCACAGTTTCAGGGGTGGATGGAAATGACTAGCAAAGTTGCCCAATTTTATGTATACCAACAACCAAGGCTCAGAAAAGCAGAGTAGCAGAGGGTAACACCATGAGCAGCTGGCAGCATCTTGCCCAGAACCTGGTGCCCTTCATCTAGGAAGATGATGAACCTGCTGGCCACTGCGAGCACCCTGTGTGGAGATGGGGGGCTGGGTCTCCTGGGAGTGGTCAGGACTGCTCACACTGTTCAGAGGGCTCCTGTTCCAAACCCCAATGTGCTCATTTGGTGTTACATGGATAAAATTAGATTCCAGATGGGAGATGCAAGGGAATCAGGAGCGGCTGTGTGTGCTTGGGTCCAACTTTGCTCACATCTGCTTTCCAGCTCTGGAGCACGGAATGACTCCAGAGGGAAGCGAACTGGAAAAGGAGGATGGGGAGAGAGTGGTGGGGGCGGGGGGGGGGGGAGGGAGGGAGGGAGGGAGGGAGGGAGGGAGGGAGGGAGGGAGGGAGAGAGAGAGAGAGAGAGAGAGAGAGAGAGTGTGAGTGTGTGTGTGTGTGGTGAGGGGCGTGGAGAAGAAAGGCAGGAAGTAAGGATCAACACAGAGCCTGGGATGCTGGGAAATGGCATATTTAAGGGGGTGTTGGCAACCTTCTTAAGGTGGAAACTTTCAGCAGAGTTTTCTCAGTTGAACCTCCCACTGGCTGAATGGCCATGCCATAGGGACAACAGTTGACTAGATGAACCAACTCAGTGATTTCATTGGTCATTTTATAAAACTAAGAAAAAAACCCCAGCAGCCTTGTAGATAACCTCTGGGTGGATGATTTAGGTTAGCAGCCTGCTAGAATGTTCCCTGGCCTTCCCATGCAGGCTTGTGGCAGCTGGATTGTGGGCTTGGCACTAGTTTCCACTGTCCAGGCACACAGTCCTGAACCACCTAATGGGACAGAAAGGGGCACCTCAGCCCCCGGACTGGTATGCACACAGCAGAGGGGCAGGGGCGGCTATGTCCTGGCAAGTCACACTAAGGTTCAATCCCAGGTGGCTGGTGATCTTCACCCTACCCGTCAGCACAGACCCATCTTACCACCACATGGTATGCATGTTACAAGCAACTGTCCTGTGAGTACCCCCACCACCTGGGCCACCTGCACCCTTGGTGGGAGAAGGCTCTGAACAGCACCCTGCCCACAGTGGGTCTGGGGTTCCCAGGTGTGGTGAGGTGGTCCTCATAGCCCACAACAGGGACTCTCGGTCATCAGGGTTACAGGCAGAGAAGAGAAACTGCGTAAAGTATCACAGCTGAGCTGCTTCTAAAGGACCCAAAAACATTTCCTGGGAGTAAGCCACTTGGCCGGCCTGGGCAGCGGGGCCTGGAGGGCAGGACCTGGTAGGAAGACTTGAGTGAAGCCTGTAGGGTTCAGCCTGCTTCCCCGGGCGTCAGGAAGTTCCCCACGCCCCTTCTCACACCCCCCAGATGGGTTTCTCAGCTGGGAAGCAGGATGAGGCCCAAGGAGAGGGAAGGGCAGAGCAAAAGGCCTCATTTCCGTCCCAGCTCTCTCTCAACTATGGAGCCAGCCCTGCAGAGTGGAGCAGCTGGGGCCAGAGCTTGTGTCTGGGGACCCTGGTGCTGAGCTGTGGGCAGCAGGGGCCGCCCGCTGCGACCTCAACAAGGCCTTTGGACGCCGGCATTTCAGGTGGCCCAGGCTGCAGAACACGCCGGGCAGCCAGGGCCGGACACAGAAAACCAAGTTCAGATGTGCTGGAGCCTCTTGCCAGATACACAGGGAGGTGCTGCACCACAGCCTGCAAGCCGAGCCGGGGCCCCTGCGCCCTGCTGGCCGTGGCTCGGCTCTGCTTTATGTGTCCCGTTTATGTGATCCGGGAGGGAATCTGCAAGACGAGCTGCTCTGTCAGAGCGCTTCAGCTGTGTGGAGCTGAAGCAGACAGGCCAGGCCGTGGGCACCCAGCTTTGGTCAGAATCTTCCTGCCAGCTGCTTCCCAGGACCGGCCTGGGGGCACCTCACTCCTCTGCTGGGGCTCCTACCTGATGTACCACCAGCCCTCCAAATTCTTCCGGATCACCTCCACGGTGACTCCCTTCTCAAAGCCAATCTCGTCCTTGCTTTGGCTGGCGTAAGGCTGCACGGTGACATACTTCTCCTCTGTGGGTGGTGGGTGAAGCAACAAAGCACAATTATATGAGGACAGGGTATAGGTCCTTCTCCCCGTCTCCTTTTTCCCCTGGCCTGGCCTCACTTAGTTGGTGCCTGGAGTGTGCTGGGTCAGCCTCTGGCTTTTCCAGGAAAGGGAGAAGGGACCCAGCCTCACAGCTGCACCCTTAGGTGGCCCTGCAAGGCCCAGGCAGCACAGAGCTGGCTCCCCCAGCCTCCCAGTCCCATAATTTCAGCCAGGGTGCAGGGGCCTGGAGTCCTTGGGGCCCCCAAAAATCCCTGGACTGAGGGCAGGGCCACTAGGAACCTGGCCCTCACGGGGCCTGAGTTAGGGAGTCTGAGAACAAACCTGGGTGTCCCCTCAATGTCCAGAGACCACTCAGCAAGCCCTCTCCTTCCTGAACATGCCATCCATGCCCCAGGTCTGCTCTCCCAGCCCTTCTCCAGCCTTAAACCCCTCCTCTGTCCAGCCTTCCCACAGCTCCAGCGGCACCTCAGTCCCCCTGATGACTCAGCTGATCACCCGATCCCATCATTTCCCCAAGGGGACTCGATGGGCGTGCTTACACGTCTTGTTAAGGATCCCGTGGCCACACAAGCAGTGGCCACGCTGAGAGCAGCACGGTCAGGCAGGAGCCCGAGCTGGCTAAGACGACCTCACCACTTAGTGGAACACCGCTGGGAGCTGCCTGCCCCGGGCTCCCAGTAGCCCTGCACCCCCTGCTTGGGGCACCCCAGGAACTGGGAGAGGGGCACCTTGTGGAAGCTGAGGTGGTGCACAGTGGGTAGGTGTGGGGAGGCTGGGCAGTTCACATCTTCCTGGATTCCCTTGGGCCTGTCTCCTGGCAGGGACCCTGTGCCCCCAGAGAAGTCCTTGCTCAGGCTTCCAGGGAGGTGCTGGGGACAGGGAGACCCACCGCTGGTGGGGCACGGACACCCTGGCTCCAGGGGAAGAGCCTCCCTGGAGGAAGGACCGGGGAGCGAACACACAGCCCCACCCTCGCCCTCACCAGAGAAAGAGAGTGCAGCAGAGATAGACAAGGACACCGACCCGCAGGATACTCTTTGGGAGGCTCACCCTGAACCTGTGCTGTCCGCTCAGACCTGGATTCTCCCTGGGGGCTGAGAGTGCCTGGCACACAGGAGGTGCTCCAAAGGGACTATGGAGTCCGAGGAGGAGGAGACTGGTGGGCCGAGCTGGGGCAGGATGCTGGCACAGAGCGGCTGGCTCTGAGACAGCTGCCCCTCACCCCATCAGCTGGACTGTGACGGGCGGCCTGCTCGAGCCTCTGGCAGCAGTGGAGGAGGGGGCAGCTGCCACCCTAACCCCTGGCTCAGGGGGGTCATCTGTTCATTCTGTCCTAGATTACTGGGGTCCTGTCTGTAGCCCTGTGCTGGTGGAGACAGCAGCTCCCTTTGGGGTGGAGGCAGCTATCCTGCCTGGATGCAAGGACAGAGCTGGCAGGCCACTGGCCAAATCTGAAAGGCTGAAAAGGGGCCAAAAGTAGGCAATGCCCACCCTCTGCCAGGAGCCTCCATAGTTTTGCGTGCTATTCTCAACTGCAAGCGTTTCTCAGCATTGACTCGCTCCTGGAAGCTTTCAGATTCCAATCCAGCCGTGCTGGGGAGAGCCGCCAAGACCGCCTGAGAACCTGGTCCGGCCAGATTCTGACTTGGGCCTTTGAGAAGTTCCATGTTGTACAGTCCAGGCCCCTGCACTCCCACCCGTTCCTGGTCTTGCTCCATTTTCCAGTGGGACACCGTAAATCCTGGCTCAGGCGGTGGGATCCAGGGTCCTGAGGTTGGGGGTGAGCCGAGGCCTGGCCTCCACATTTTGCCTTTGCTCAGTTGGGCTATTTTTAAAAGGCTGTGGTTCACGCAGGAAGCCATCATTACAGTTTCCCTAGGCAAAGCTGCTTTTGCAGAGAAAAATTACAGCTCTTTTCTTGGGCAGATGAGAGGGGCCCTGCCCTGCCGCATGGCAGAGGACACGCCGACACCGTGTCATGGGGGGCCAGGCCCCAGCACTAGCCCCCCAAGCCTGTGTGCTGAGGACAGAGCTCTGAGGGCCAGGTCAGAGTCCTGCTTTCCCCTGCCGCTCCTGGGGTGGGCAGACCAGGGATGTCGGTGTTACCCAGGGAAGCTGAGCTGCTCCTGCACAAAACCCTCTTCGTGGTGGCCCTGCGGCTGACGTGAACACAGAGAGTTTATGCTCTCTGGGAACACATCGGAGTTTGTGCTCCTGGAAGAGACCTGGCTGGCTCGAGGGCCTGTCCTGCCCCGTCACTAGAGGCTCCAGGAGGTGGGAATTCGGAGCCCTGATCCCAGGCAGGGCAACTCTTCCAAATGGTCCATACAGGGGCTCTGTTTTCTGTCACATCTGGCTTGGATGATGAAAGTGTGGGTTACACCTCTGAGTGGACACGCGGTCCATGGTCTCAGTTCTTTACTCCCAGGTTTCCCTGAGGCAGAGCAGAGCCAGTCCCTCCACTAAACAGGGGCCACAAATCCCACCTTAGGAGGCCAGACAGGAGGACGCCCAGACTGACAGAAATGACCTGGGGCGGGGCGGGAGGAGATTAGGGGTGCGACTGAGTCACTTGCATTGGTTGGGATCTCTAGAAAAGAAGTCCCTTAGGAATCAAGTTGAGGGAAGGGGCCCGGGAGTTTTGGGGGCACCTCTGGGCTTCTTGGAAGTGCTGAGGCTGTGGTCACTGTGATGTGCCATCAAAGGTTGGTTGCCACCTTGCCCCAGGGAAGGCTGGCCAGGCCGCCCATGGGGTGGGTGGGTGGGAGGTGGACAGGCCTGTTCTGGTTTTGGAGGCAGGGGCTGGAGAGTCTTGCAGTTTCCAAACCACAGACGCCTCCTCCTTCCAAACACTTTCCCCTCCGTCAGCAGTCTCCCTGGCTCCCCTCCCGGCCCCCACAACTTACTCAACCCCGCTGCAAGAGGCCTTTTGATTCCAAAGGCCTGGTTGGCTGCGGGACTCAGGGAGTGGAGGCCCCGGGGAAGCACTGCTTTTCTCTTGTCTAGTTATGTACAGCCCACTGCCTGCTCCCCCCTCGGCAGCTCGGCTGTTTGCAGCGAAGCTTCTCTTAGCCAACTTTCTGCATTTTCCTTGGCTGCCTGACTTAACTTAGCCCTAATTTAACTTAGGGCAAAGACCGGGAAATGATGTTGTTTAGGTCTCTCATTTAAGAGAGAGAAGTTGTGGGCCTGTATTTGCTTGCATATTTGCATGTGTACGGGTGGCCATAGAATGAATGCATTCAGTTGGGTATTTGTGTCCACTTACATCATCGTATGTCTATAATTGTGACTACGTTGCTAACATACTTGTGATAAAAGTTATGATATGTGAGTGCATATGCAATATATGTGTACTTGTGAGGTAGCTGCAGAGGAATTCCCATGATGTGATAGTGTGGATAATACATTTGTGACTGTAAAAATAATGCAATCGTGGAAGGGTCTACACGAGGCTGCCTAAGTGTGCATCTGTGAGCGGCCGTGTGCAGGGAACTGCAGGTATGCAGGTATGTAGGGGCTGGACGTGCAGTGTGCTGAGGCCCTCAGGGTGGTGTGCTGGTGATTGTGCTTCACGGACTGAAGTGTCTGAGTCTATGTGGTTGTGGAGACAGAAATGTGCTTGGGGTTCACTGTGTGTTGGTGTCTGGAGTGGACAAAGAAACGGAGGGGGAAGGGTAAAAACCTTCCTCCCCGCACTTTTTCCAGGCCAGTGTCCCACTCTCCTTTGCTGCGGAGGCTCAGGGCTGTGTCCCAGCCTGGCCCGCCACCTTCCTCCTTCCACAGTCCCTTTGTTTCACATGCAGTCTGTTCTTTCTGCTTCGATGACTTGGCCCCCTGTCCTGCGCCAGCACCCAGGGTCCAACCCGTGCTCCACTCTCAGGACAAGCTGGGCTCCTTGCGGTCAGTGCTCTGACCTGATGCTGAGCCAGCCCCAGTAGAGTCCAGGCTTGTTGCTGCTTGGGGCAGACACCAAAACTAAGTCTCACAGTCCTTCAGAAACAAGCTTTGGGGGTGAAGTGCGAGACCCGGGGCATCCCTGCTATTCTGGAATAGCCAGTGCTCATGACACACCCTTCTAGCTATGCCGTAATTGTCTGGAACACGCCCTCCATTCTCCTGAGGCAGGAGACACAGGCCACCCACTGGCCCCAGGGCTCTGGAGATGTTTAGAGGCTTGTTCAGAGGCCCGCCCCTAATTTCCCTACCTCCCAAGCTCCTGGATGTCGGAAAGGCTTTGGATTGGCAAATGTCTGGGTTCTCAGTCAGCCTGTGTGGCAGGCCAGGGGCCTCCCTGGAATCATCTTGACAAGGCTCAAGTCCCAAAGGCCAGGGCTGGGGTGCAAGAGCCCCTGGCTGGACTTGCCTCATCCTTAGACCTGGCGGGGGCTGTGTGCTTAGACCCGCTGGGTCTAGACTTTGCTCCCTTCCAGTTTCCCTGGAACTGGAGGACTGAGGAGGTGGGGAGTGGCTCCACCTCCTTCCTAGTCTGTCCCTAAATCACTGCCAGGACATCTCTGGTCAAGGAAACCCCTCCTTAGAGGAAGGAGGCAGGGAACAGCCGGGGGTGAGGGCACGGACCAGGCAGAGATTCAGACACACTTAATCTGCGGTTTCAAGACCAACATGGCCCTTCTCAGAGTCCAGCTCCCCCATGACCCTATATAAGTCCCATGACCCTGCCCCCAGGATGCTGGTCAAAGCCAGAGCCACCCCCAGTGTCACCCCAATTCCCAAGCAGCCCCTGCATCCTCCCAGGACCCTCCCTGCCAGCTAGAGTAGGTAAGAGGACAGTCTGGCTGGTGAATCTAGGTGAGGAGGCCACGGGGCAGAGAGGAGCAGAGTCCAGAGGAGGAGGAGAAGCACTAGTGAGAGAGAGAGAGAGAGGCAGCAGCTGGGGGTGAGCAGAAGCTAGCTCCACGGTCACCTCGGCTGTGCTGCCTGTTGACCATCCCGCCCAGCGTCCACCGGCGATCCAGGCGCCGCAGATGGGCCTTGCGTCTCTTGGACACTGGTGTGGGAGATGGCGATGGAGCACGCGGCCGACGGGCACCGGCGGAGAGAATGGAAATGAGGATGAGATGGGATGGGTGGGGAAGGGGTGCAGGGAGGGGAGGTGTGCACCCCTAGGTCTTCACATGCCTGGACCAAGCCCCAGTGGCACAGACAGGGCTAGATGGGCACAGAACTGACCGGTGACATCGCTGGCAGGTGGCAAATAATCCAACCAAAGCCAAAATGTGTGGGTTATGCCCCTGAGCCTGGGAGGGGCTAAGACTTGAGAATCCCAGCACCTGAGAGGGAACGAGGCTCCATGGCTCCAGCCCGGTGCAAGGATGACCCTCAGAGGCAGCCCTGGAGGAAAACATGCCTCCCATGATCCCTGGGCATTGATGGCTCCCAGGAGCATATGCCCCCACCTCCACCAGAGCTCCTATCAATCTCCCATCCCCATCCATTCACTCAGCAAGTCCTGCTTGTGAATCTGCAACCATGAGCTAGGCACCGCGTGCAGAAGGATAAATGTGTCCAGGTGGAGACCTGGGGTCCCTTCCCCGGGGGACTTACAATTCTCACCATCCTGGGTTGCATTTGTCTTTGCTTTTTCAGTAATCCCCAGTGGGTCAAATCTGCTGAGGGCTAAATCTCCACATCTCTGCATCCCCAGGGCTCGGCAGGGGACTGACCCCTCTGAAACGTTGCTGAGTGAAGCACGACATCGGAGGATGCCTCAGGCCTGGGTGTGTTCCTGCCCCACACGCTGCCCGCTGAATTTCAGACAGTCGGGGACCTGCCTCACAGCCGCTCACTGCTCCACGCCCCTCCTGTCCACACAGGTCCTCTGGCTGCTGTGGACCAGTTCCACATGCCCCCTTGCCCTCCTAGGGGACACCAGGTGGGTCAACTCCCCCCTCCCAACCCCAGGCAGGCTGCCCAGGTCTGGGGGAGGAAGGCTGGCAGCTAAGAATCAAACTGTCCAGACACACCCCACCACACCCCATCCAGGCCACCTGGGAAGTACTCGTTTTTCCAGAGGCAGGAGAGTGGCCCGTCTGACCTGCTTCCTGGAAGCGGGAGGCCTGAGGGATGGATTCAGTCCAGGCTGCACTGCCCGCTTACTATGTCACCGTGGCAGGCCGCCAGCCCTCTGTAAGCCTCTGTTTCCTCATCTGTCTTTGGGGTTGACACCATCCGCCCTGGTGTGAAGTGAGACAAGGACTGAGCGGGCACAGTGGAAGAGAGATGAGGTCCTATGTGAGGTCACACTGGGAAGAACCCGAACAGCTGACCTCCCGGGGTGTGTCCACCTGGTTTCTCTGTGGGCAGAGGAGCTTCCCTCAGCTAGTGCCCAGCCTTGCGCCACCTTAGCAATAAGTAATGTTTACCCAGTTTAAACCAGGTGCCAAGACCATCTCACAAAGGCCCCAGGTAGTGGGCACTCTGCCCACTCTAGAAATGGGAGGCCAGAGGCACAAGCATGGAACGTGAGCTGTTAGGGAAGCTCTGATGGGATGAAGGGGTCCAATTTCTATCTGCAGGACTCAGGGGATCTATAATGGGGTGGCAACAGGGCCGGGGTAGAGATGGCCTGAGAAGGGACCAGGGTGGTGGGAACAGTGTAGAGACTGGTAGACACACCACAGATGCTGGGCCTTGGGCTGGGGGACTGAACCTTGAGCCCTTCCGTAGAGCTGGGGGTAGATGCCCACAATGTGATGATGGAATTCACAGCTGCCCAAACGTTGCCGGGTTACTGGCACACAGATCCTATCAAAGCGTGCAGCAGAACCTATTATCAGAAGGTTCGCCTTGAGCATCCATGTGTGTGCATACACACATACCCACACACACACACACACACACACACGTCCTCTGAATGCGGAACCTGCGCTGGCTGCCTCGTTCTTATTCCATGGAGGTCAGAAGTCTTTACAACCCGCTATTGCTTGTTCTGTGCAAAGCACCCAATCTCTCTTCAAACCAGCTTGGCATCAGTGCCCACGCAACCTCTCAGGCTCTTTCCTGCCCACTGGTGTCCTGGTCCTCCAGCATCTCCCAACGTCTCCACTCTGGCTCTCTTGCCATCACCTTTTCAGGAGGGGCTCCAATTCCATACACACTCTCTCCCAGAATCGCTCATAAGCAAAATGCATCACAGAGAGGCGTTCAGCACGGTGGGAAGACCACCAGCAGGGGAGGCTGACCAGGGGCTCAAGCCTTATGAGGACGAACATGTATCTAGATCTCCTGAAGCCTCAGTTCCTGCATTGGGAAAATGGAGATGGTGACAGAGCCCTCCCCAGCCTGGTTCCCAGGTAAAAGTACCAGGGCAGACACCTAGGAGTTGAGTGAGGCCTCAGGTCACTCTAGGGATGGTTACTTCTGAAAAGCCCTGGGATGACCCCCAGGATGTGGAACTGGATAGGAGGTGAGGCCTAGTGACTACAGACAAAACAGACCAGACCCAACTCAGGGGCTGTGACTCTGCACCACTGCAGTGATGAGATGGAGGAGAGGCTCAGTCCCAGGGCTCGGGGACCAGCCAGGAAGGACTGAGCACCTGGACTGAACATGACGGCCCTGCCCGATGGGGCCGGGAACCTGTCACCAGGCAGATATGCACTGCAGGGGCTGTGGCCCTGATCAAGGGACTGAAACGCAGCACTTACAGGGGAGGAAGGGCAGGGCTCCAACTGCCCAGTAACCGACATTCGGGGGAAGGATGAATAAGGAGCTGGCGCTGGGCGGGCTGCTTATTTTGGCCTGGGCAGTGTGGAGTGGGGGTGGGGAGGGGCATGCCTGGAGGTGGCCTGAGCCCTGGGCGGCAGGCATCCATCCCCCTGGCTTTCAGAGGTGCCCAACTGGACGATCCTCACTGGCCGTTAGGGCAAGCCTTCCTGCTGCCAGAACAAGGGAGGTTTGGAAGTCACCAGGAGCAGGCAGGCTTGCTGGGCTCTGGCAGCCTGCTCTGGGGAATACCCAAGTCCACTGGACAGGCTGAGTAGGCCAGTGCTGGCTGCGGGGGAGGGGCGGGTTCTTGGAAACGCAACAGAGAAAACCCCAGAAAAACCTCTTGAGGCCAGAACTAATCAGGGAGGCTGACGGTGCAAGAGTTGAAGCCACCCCTGGGTTCCGGCAACACAGAAAAACGACTCCCCCAGCTGCCCACCATGTCCGCAGCCTGGGCTGGGCTAACAGGTGCTCCAAGGGGCGGCCTCCGAGCAGACTGTGAACAGCAGAAGTGGCATGCACACGGCCCCTTTGGGGTCGTCCCTGCCACAGAGAGTACAGTGCGGGGTGGGAGAGGCAAAGGTGGATCTTGGTAGGGACCCCCAGAGGAATCTAGGGCTTCTGCGGGGAGAGGGAGCTATAGAGGATGAGCCCTAAGATTGTTCTCCCCAGTCTCTGACCCAAAGTTATCAAAACCTGAGACCCAGACCCCAGGAGAATCTCCAGTCTAGTTTGAGTCCCATGCAGGACCAGCGAGGACAGACCTGGATAGGAGGTGAGCTTGTGGGCTGGCCCCAGGGAGATGGGCTCCCAGCGGAAGTACGGGGACCATGACCCAGTCTTTTCAGAGTTTCTGATGGTCTTAGGGAGAAGGGTGGGAAAGCTGTATCATCACCCCACCCCTTGAACCTGCAGGCCCTTACCATCTCCAGTCTTGGAGGTGTTGATATCTGAGTCGTCCCGAGTACCATTCTGGGCCTCCAGGTAGGTGGCAGGGACCCAGCCCTGCTCCTCAGAGGTGCTCACGAACCACCAGCCTGCAGCAGGGACAAGAGAGAGCGCAGCCAATGAGAGTCAGTGGATAGCCAAGGTGGGGAGGGGGCCAGGACGAGGAGGAAGGGGCAGCGAGGAGGGCAGAGCACAGAGGCACATGGCTCCGGGCACCAGAAAATGCCTGGCCCACATCTAGCCTCCTGGAGTCCAGGTTCCTGGCTGAGGAAGGAGAGACCAACACAGTCCCTGAGAAGAGGGGGCCTGATGGACCGCAATCCACTCACACAAACGTGTGATACATCTGAGAATGAAATGGACACAAATGTGTGATACATCTGAAAATGAAATGGACATGATATGCCCAACACATGAAAGTTACCTTGTGGGAAAGGTCAAGGGGGCTCCAGCCAAACACAGAGACCAGGTAGGGTTTTTCAAGCCCACTAGGATCACTGGTGTGACCTGGAGTTTGACCATTTTCTCTGGTTTAATGTGACCCTTGACAGTCATGGCCAAGTGAGAGCAGTACATTCGTTTTGTTTCCCGATTGTTGGCTCATTCATTCATCACTCAGACAAAAGCTGAGTCAAATACTCCAGACTCTGAAGCCGTGGCACTCCACTACTGTCTTCTGTTCCTTCCTAGAAGGTACTTTTCACAGGAGGCCATCTCTGCCCGCCTCCTATTCTGATTCTTTCCTGCCTCCAAAGCCATTTGGTACTGATGCTCTTTTCTGTCCATGACAGAGCTCACTCACCATTTCCAAATCTGGACTACAACCTGTCAAGAGACCCCAGGGCTCCTCCCTGGGCAGCACACTGAGGCCCCATCACTGCCCACAGCAGTGAGCAGCTGCCCAAGGAGGGGGCACATAGGGACCTCCAGGCTCTCCCAGCTGGGCTTAGCACTGGGAGGTGGAGAAGGCTGCCTGGGGGCTGCTGTGACAACAATGGAGAGGGGCAGAGGACAACAGTCCCACCCCTGCACAGGATCTCACACCCAGGGTCATACCTAGGTCTTCAACTTCCAATGCTCCAGGTCACTGGGCTGGGATAGCATACAGCCTGTGGTCTAGTCTTGAGGGCCCACTGCACCCCACCCTTTCCAAGAAATTCCACAACACTCTGCATGCAGCTCTGCAAACCTTATGAACTGCCATGACATCTGTATGATACTGTAACATCAGATACAGTCCTTGTATGTTTGTCCACACCCACAGAATGTCCAGCACTGAGAGTGGACCCTAAATAGAACTAGGTACTCTGGGTGATTAGGATGTGTCCATGTAGGTCATCAGTTGTACCAAATGGACCACTCTGGTGGGGGATGTTGACGACAGGGCAGGCTGCTTGTGTGTGCAGGGGATAGGTGTATATGGGACCCCTCCCACTCAATTTTCCTTGACTTAAACTGCTCTAAGAACAAAAACAAAGCCTTAAAAAAAAGGAAAAGAAAAAGTTTCAGACAAGGGTCTGGACTTCTGAGGCCCAGCCCTCAGCTGGGTCACTGCCCCAGGGGACTCAGGGTGGAAGCCTTCATTCTCTCTCTCTGCCAGATTCAGGTCAATTCCCTCATCCCTTACCCAAAGGGGATGGGTGTGGGCCACGTGCACACTCCAGGCCTACCCACCCAGGCAGCACTGCCATCCTCCCTAGAACCCTGGCAATAGCCGCTTGGCTGCTTGGGAGGCTGTGGCTGAGAGACCCCAAAGCAGCCAGAAGGCATGGACTTGCAGGGGTCTCTGCCTGGGGTGGCTTCTCCCCTTCTCTCAGGCTGTGGGGGAACTTTCAGGAACTTCAACTGTCCCTGCCGATAGGCCCCAAGCCCAGTGTTCTTCCCCAGAGTCTGACTGGAGGTCACAGAGCTGCCCACCTCACAGACATTCCCGCCCTACAGCTCTGCCTCCTTGACCACAGGAGTGGGTGCATCTGGCCAACTGTGTTCTGATGGGCCTGTCACCTCCCCAGACACTATAACGGTTCACAGGCTTCTCCAGGAACGGACATGGGTGCTCTGGCGACCTGAACCCTAAGTCCCACATTAACCAGGAATCACAGGGGTGTGGGGAAGAGATGTCCTGAGAGTTAAGTCAATAAAGCAAAATCAGGCAATGGAGAAAGTCAGTCCTGATGACATCACTTGATCCTGGGGCACAGAGGTGCTAAAGCTAGGCTGCCCTGTTGGACGTTCTCATTACAGTGAGCCAGCGACCTTCCTATGCCGTTCAGTTGAGCCAGAGCAGGTTTCACACACGCCCTTAGTCAGCAGGGTTCAAACTAGAAGGTCCGCCATCACAACTCAAGTTTGGAGAACAAAACCCAAGTCTGCTGGGCGCCTGCCATCACAGACCTCAGGGGGAAGGATGGAGACCTCCAAGTCACTCTTGGTAAGCAGTCCCTCCCCAACCAAACTCCCCCTCACAGGATAACCTCCAAGAGCCCAGAAGAACAGTCATCACAGTCCCCAATTTGGAGTCATTTGGGGAGGGTCTGGAAGGCTGAGGCTCTCACATGCCTGCCCAGGTCCAGGTCCAACGACAGAAGTTCATAGGCTTTGGTCACCACACCCTCCAGTCCCTCGTCAAACTGTGTCCAGGGAGCTGAAGGACCAGTTCCAGCCTCCAGAGCCAAGCCAAGTCCCAATAGGCCAAGGTAGTGCCCTGAAGGCCTAACCTCAAAGGGAAGCCCTTCTTCCCAGAAGAGGACTCCCCAGGATGGACTCAGGGATCTTATGGTCATCAGACAGAACAGGGAATGTGTCTGGAGGAACAAAAGAGCTTGGATACGTGTGTCTCCCTGAGGATTTGCTGAGATCTCTCCATGCCCAGCTCCCCACCCCCCGGCCTCTTTTTCTATACCAAGGTGTGTCCATTGCCCACTCCACCCTCTAAAACAACCTACTTGCTGTCTCAGTGGCAGCATAGTCCCTCCTTTTCTGTGTGAGCCCATGACTTCCCAGGAAAGCAAGGTACTTGGTGGTCTCCTGGATGGCTGGGCTGACTCTCTTCTAAGCTTTCTCTCTATTTTGGGAATCTGGGCCCCGAAGGCATCCTCAGCAGAGGTGAAGGAGGCAAGCTCCTCCATGGGCACCAGGAGGACTTACGGGGGTTCCTCCATCAGTTTCATCTGAGTTTGTCTGTGTTCTCACCTGTGAGTCTTTGAGCCTGCTGACCTCCTGCTGTCCTCTCTCCCAACCTCCCCCCATGGCAATTTGCAGATCAAGGCCCCATGTGGACTTTTCTCATTGACTCCAAGGGCTTTAGAATCCCAGAATTTAGGGTTCTTTTCTGCTAGTGGCATCGTTTCCCCTCCTGCCTAACTCACCCTTTGAGAACCTTCCGTGTACTTTCTGCTCCCTCTCTTCCCCCCAGGAGCCAGGGATCTGGGATGGAGGGATGGATCTGGACTTGTCTGTGTAGAGTATCTCCCCAGGGTGGGGCAGAGCTGGCCTGCCTCCTACCTCTGCCTGGCATAGACCTGGCACTCAGGGCAAGCTGGGCAGGGATTTGCTGAGGGGCTGAGCATGTGGCTGAGGTGCCCAGTGGGCAGGAAGGTGTGATGGTCTCTGCCTCACACTGCTGGGTACCCCTGGGATGTGCCAGGGTTGTCTGAGTCCTTTCGACCTCAAAACCTCTCCTGTACCCCAGGTTTCTGTGGAGCCTGGGCCATACCACTGGCAGATCGTGATCACCTCACCCCAGGGCAGCAACTTCGAGTCCTATCCTCCTGCTGCACCCCAGACTTGGGGCTGAGACTCTCATCTTCCTCACAGCTCGGAGGTCCTTCCAACCTGACCTGAGAACACCCCAGCCCTGACACATGCAGAGCTGGGCTGTGTGGCTCTGAGTCCCAGGTCCCTCCCGCAGCAGGCCCTGCAGAGAGGAGCTGCACACTGGACAGGCTCAGTCACCGCCCACGAAACAGAGATGGACAGGCTGTCACCACCCAGGCAGGCATTGGCTGAACATGGGCTGGGGTGCCCACCCAGCTCTACACAGACCCCCCGGAAGCCCTGGCACGAGTCACACAGTTGGGCCTGTGGGGGCGGCTCCTTGGGCCTGCGCCCACTGATGGCTGCTGGCAGGCCTCTCCCAGATGCCAGCAGCTGCAACCGGGGCCCCTGACCAAAGTCACTGTGTCTTCACCAAGGAGCAGTTAGAGCCTGAACCACCCTGGGTGCAGCCCAGCTGGACAAGAGGGCTCAGGTGTCAGCCAGCCCGCGGGCATCTCCGGCTCCCCTCTAGTGCACACCGTGTTCTCGCTCCTGCAGAGGCTCACAGTGGGAGGCAGGCTATGTCCACATACACATGCATGGGTGGGGACCTGTGTGCATGGAAGAGAGGTGTGTCTATACATGTATCACGTGATGATTATAGCCAGGTGCTGAGAAGAGCACGCCGTGTCAGGAGCTAACACTACTCACGTCACTTAATTTAATCTTCAAGGACCCTGTGAAATAACTTACTGTCATAACTATCCCCACTTTACAGATGTGGAAACTGAGGCAGAAGAGATCACCACCAGGAGGAGGCAGAGTTGGACTGAAAACCAGGCACTCCAGCTTCAGGACCCACATTCTTCACCACTGCAGAAGCAGGTCAGGTGCACCTCTGTGCCGTGCACATGGGTAGAGGTGACTCCTTGACAACGAGGATCCCTGAACACGGATGCTTTACATATGTGCTGCCTGTGAGTCTGTCCACATCGCTGAGTGTGTGCTTTATGTGCATACATCACGAGTAGAGTCTCAGGTTTGAGTGTCTATATCCACACGTGAGGACTCTCTGGGGATAGAGGGTAATAACTGGGAGTCTGGAGTCAGAAAGACTCAAATTCAGCTGGAGTGCCTTATACTGAGATGCTCCCCAGTCGGGGCAAGAGAGGACTACCACGTCCACTCTTTTGAATGGGAAACTGCAAAGTGATGTCCAGGAGCCCTGAGAGAGACGCACTCAGATGCTGGATGTTCAGGAGAAGGCTTCCTCCTGGGGACCCCAGGCTGGGACAATCATCTGGAAGAATCCTGAACTGGCCAAGCTCCCAAG